GGCTGAGCTGTCACACAAACAGCCAATGTATCAACTGTACAGACATTAGCTGCAAGATCTTCACCACATTGTTAGCTAGCTTACAGCTAACGTTTGGTTAGTCACATTTAATTCATTTGTAAGTCACAGTTGTTATTTCATCCGAAAAAATCAGCAATTGCCGGCTAGAAATGAGAACCCCGCTTTACCTCTGTCTGAAATCAAGAATCCACTGTAGAGAACAAGCTCTAATAATGTGTTACTTCATTTCTATGATTAGACCGTGACTCTGGATGTTTCATTAAATGATTAGAACCTTCACAACAACAACATTGTCTCGCTATGTCTCTGTGCCAAAGAGTCCTAGCTGTGTGACTGTGTGACAGGGTCATCTGTCACAATGTTATTGGAATTCAGTGGCAGAGCGACACTCAAGAGACCTGGGACTGCAAGGTTTTTAAACACCAACAGGTGCCTCTTTCCTCAGATATGCTTCCTGGGAGGGCTGCAGCAAAAGATAAAGGCAATGTAATAATGTCAAATGCATTTGCCCCTTTGAAGTGCCCCAGACGGCATTTGATTTTGTTGCTGTGTGACCTCTTATAACAAAGGCACAATTATTTACCCTTTCTTAAAGTGTCTGAAAATGCATTTGCTTTTGCCTCGCAGGAAGATTTACAACAGAGACACATTGTACAACAAAAACAACTCTTTCCCTCGTAGGCCTCGTTATATAAGTTTCACATGTACACACGTTTTGCTTGCACTAAGCTCTGATTTAAAACTAAAAAAAGTTTAACTTGACTTTCAATTATGTGATTCAAGTTACACTATATCTGCTCACCTCACCATGCAGGGCTACAAGCTAGTGCGGTCTGCTTTTCCACCATTTCACTCCTGCTTCCCTCCTCTCTCTGTATGTCATGCCAAAGTTCACCAAAGTGAACAGCAGTGCGTCTAGTTAGAGCCCAACCCGGCTAAACACTGAGTAGCAGGGAGGGACATGAAAAAGAGAAACAGTAAGGTGTAGATCCGCAGGAAGTATTAATGACAAGGAGCCTGAAGACAATAATGTGTATGAGTTGGAAGACAGTGTGATATTGAATGAGGTGAGAGCAGTGAAGAATGTGTTTCTAACACCAGAGGGGAAGACACTGGTTTCAAGAGCAGCTGAGTGTAACCTTGCTTTGGGCGGCTCTGGGGGATGCATGGACGAGTTTTGATGCGATTGTGAAATTTAAAATGAACTCAAAAGTCCATGGAGGCTAAAGTGCATTGTCCTTGTATCTGAATGGCCCATTGATCAGCAGCCTGGTTGGTGGCAGTGAACCTGAAAATGACATTCTCTTTTGCTATTCACCAATTACCTATTTAAAATGTTATCAGCCCATTAGCACTACCATTCTAATGCATCAGATGGGCTAAACTTATATTTTAAGTGATTAATGTTGTGAATTTGACACAACACAACAACAAAACAGCTTATTTAGGTTTAGGCTACAAAACTAGTTTGTTAGATTTAGGAAACGATCATGGTTTGAGTCAAAATTAGTAACTCTGTTTTAACACAAAAAATAAGTCAATTTGATGAGTTTTAGTTTCACGCGTGACACAAGCAGGTCTCCTGGGTGATAGTCCTGTCTTTGTTTGACACATCCATCCATCCAGCCTGACCTCCTTACTATGCAGACTTTGTCACTCTTTATACTGTATACGTGCTCATAACTGATGCAGGGGAGGCAGGGATATTCTGACTTTCAGTCCCTATGGGTCAAGCTCTAAAAACCTGTCCCATAATGCAACTTGAGGTTGTCCTCTTTAAAGGTCTGAGTCAGTGCTACTAATGATAAATGATAATGATAGTAATAATTATATGAAAAAGAAGAAACAACATGCAAATAGATGCAGTATAAAGTGCTCCACTCTTGTCTTGGATCTTCCACAGCCAGACAGAACAAACGCAAACAGTCACACAAAACCAAGTCATTTTAGCACTTCCATTTATAGATGTGTCATACATTTATTTATTCACTTACTTTTTCTTTTAGTCACGACATAGACGTACTTTTAAGTCGAAAACGCCTGGCTTTGAGCTTTTAAATAATTTGTGAGTAACTCCTGATATCTCTATCTACAGAACTTTCTGAGCTTCTGAATTTGATGCTGTTTGATTTTATGATGAGTACATCCTGTGTGACTCATTAGGCCTACTGACTTTGATGAAAGTATCTTTGCAAAATGCAAATGTAGGTTTAGGTATACTGTATATACAACATAGAGCTGATGATTTCTGCCACCCCTGAGACACTGTATTTAAAATATGGGGCCTTGAGCAATTCTTTCATATGACAAATATTTGGAAGAGGCTTTGGTGCGGTTGCATGTTCTTCTTTCACTATTTGTAATAATCATATCTGAATTGTATGTACAGAAATATTAAGAAATGTTGCCTCACAAAGGGGGAAATTATTGCAATATATGAAGGGGAAGAAACATCTCCACAACTCTCAATTTTGCCCTTGACTTTAAGCACAGGGCCAGTCTGGTTGAGGGTTTGTTAAAGTGGATCACTCAAATCTCAGATAGCCCTCGACATGCTGACTGTAATTAGTTCCAAGATTAATCCGCACAATCATGGTCAAATGTGTCCTCCTCCCACTGTGCTCGTGAAATAATGGCTAGCACGGATAATCAAATAATAGGTGAATATCAATGAATAGACCAAATCACTTCAGTCCCTGGCTCCCTTATGCAATTATTTCCTATTCACATTAATTATTGCTAACAGATGACATTAATGACTTTGAGAGGAAGCTGGCCATGGCAGCCTTGCAAACGTTCAATGCTATTTTAAATGGGGTCACAACACTTTTGACACCTTTGGGTCCCTTTGATTGGAAATGGCACCAATGCAAACAGCATCTGCCAGTGAATAGTGCCAGCAGTTCCTAGGAACATACTGGACTCTCTACACAGGACTCGAAAAGTGGACCTATAAGCCATGAAGCGAAGACATCAAATTGACAATTGTACCTTCTGCCTATTCAGTGCTTTTTGATGCCTTGCATCTTATCAAAATCAATACTTATACTGAGATCAAAATTTAAATAATACCAAAAAACTGATAAATGTATTTTCTCTCGTGCTGTTTGGGCCATCAAAACTAGTTTCAAAACGCTTAAAGCTTATATGGAGCATACTGGATGTGATCCATATCGTATAGTAAATACTTGGAAACCAAGTCCATACCAGTTTCTATGAGCAGTTCTAAAACAACATTCAAAATGAAAGGCTAAACAGTCAACTCACTAACATGTTTGATTATTTAATTTTTTGCAAACCTAGTTTATATTAATATCAGGCTGACAACAAAGACAATGTTACACTGCTACCATCACAGGACATGAGAAAATGTTTGCTATTTCGTGCTAGGCTGATACCGCACACTCAGCACATCAGGATTAATGTTAGCTGGAAAACTAAAACAAAGAGCCAGAAGTGTCTACAAGTTGTATGGAGTTGTACAGTGTTGATGCTCAGCTAATTTGGCAGTACTAGTGACTCATCCACATTACATCACTGGAGTGATTTGGGTCATTAACTAGTCAGAGAAAATTCAATTGTTTTATTTAATTTACAGCAGATACTGTCACGGGAGTTCACGGTGAGGACCCAATAGCAAGACCACAGGAGACAGAAGTTGGTATAAACAGGTTTTATTTAGCCTGAATTAAGATGACAGGAAGGTGTGGAGCCCGTGGTCCGACACCGAAGGGCAGGCGGATTGACGATGTGAGTCCCGTGGCTCGACACCGGAGGGCTGGCAGCTTGACGGCGTGATGTCCCGTCGCTCGACACCAGAGAGTAGGCAGATCGACGGTGTGAGTCCCGTGGCTCGACACCGGAGGGCTGGTAGCTTGATGGCGTGATGTCCCGTGGCTCGACGGCGAGAGTAGTCCGTTAACACAACAGAGGGCAGAGCGGCGGTGTGTAGTCCGTTAACACCACGGAGGGCAGAGCGGCGGTGTGTAGTCCGTTAACACCACGGAGGGCAGAGCGGCGGTGAGTAGTCCGTAAACACAAAGGAGGGCACGGGGGATTCCCGGACCGACGGACACCGGAGGCAGGCACTCAAAGCCGAAGATGCAACGGGGTTGAAGCGGGTGAAAGACGGTACGACCTGACAACCCCAGACTGCAGGACCAGAGTTTATATAGTGCCAGGGAAAGCGTTAGTGGGACCTGAGTCTGGTGTGTCAGCCTGCAGGAGGTAATCGGCTGGAGTGGCTGCAGCTGTGTGGCCATGGGAGGTGCCTGGTCTGACAGGGATCCTGACAGATACATGTAAACGACTGGGGGGAAATCAATTTAGTATCAATTGATAAACCAATCAATAAATAAACCTCAGATAGACAGATGGCAGCTTGATCACTACAGGGAACTGCTGCTTCAGATTTAGAACAAGGGAGTCTATTCCCAAATAAAATGTATGTGATAAAATATGCAGTGAAAGTCCTTTCAAAGCTTTCAACATTTCTTTCAAAGCTACCTCTGTCATCATTTCTCTTTAATACAAATATTGTAAGATGTCAGAACACAGAGGCCTCCCTTTAAAATGTCTCATTGACCAGCTTCAAAACATTTAGTACACCTGCAAGATCAGAGAAACATGCAGACACATTGTATTTTACAACAAAGGCCATCTGACAATTGGAGTTGAAAATGTCAGTCTATTCCTCAATTAGCCTTTGGTTGGAAAGAGACAGCCATGTCTCCAGCCTATCGATTCTTTGGGATCTGTGTCAGAGACAAATGGAGAGCCATGGGGCATTATCATAGTGTATTTCCTTCAGACTGCAAAGAGAGTCATAATTACAATATTTGTCACTGCTGATAAATTGAATTGTATATCCTGTTAATATGTCTCTTATTGCCAATGCTTTGTCAATGTTAGCCTGCAATAAGGACATTCATTGCTTGTTTAATTTCTGTTGATTCATTACATAACTAATGATTTTCCAGGAGGTCCAAAGGAATGGAAAAGCAGGTATTCCCGGAAGGTGGCCCAGCCTGCTGAGTCTAACATGCCCACGCAGTAGTGGTAGCGGCAGTGGCAGTGAACTGTCACTATCCAGTGCTGGTAGTGAGTACTCCAGTGGCTCCCACACTTGGGCAGAGGGACGCGGATTCTCCAAGCAGGTGGGTTTCTTTCATCTTACAATCATCTTCCTTTGATTTGAAGAAAAAGCAAGTTGTCAAAGTTGTCATCTCAATGGCATGTTGGTGATCCCTCTGTAAATTCCATTTCAATAATTGTAAATATGATTTGTAATGCACAGTGCGCCGCAAGCCGGGACAAAAGGATGAGTACGGGTTCAGTATCCAGCAACCACTCTGCACCCATTGAGCAGACAGACCTGGGATGGAAGGAAGGCCACATTCTGAAAGGCCTGAAGCGTCTCCAAATGTGCAGCTCCAAAGAGGCATCCTCACTTGCATCTGTGCCACACTGCAAAGATTGTATGACTTCCAACGAGGGCATATACTCATTTGGTGTCAAGTGTGGCCAACAAGGGAGTACAGCCAAGCAATTAGCCCCTCCAAGTAAATCTTTGAAGGCTGGAGCAGGGACTACTGCCCCCCTAGACTCAGATGATGCCAATACTGAATCAACTAAATTACAAAGTACAGAATCCAGTGATCAACCAACAAAAGAGCTTGTTTGCTTGCAGAAACTGGATGTCACAAGGGATGATGACAACAATTTTCAACAAGACCCTGTAAAACTTGGAGGGAATTCTGGTCTTTTTCCCTCACCTGTCACAGACAACTTCTTATTTTTGGAGGGCCCCTCAGTAAAACCTGGTGTAAGCCCAACAGATAGCCTTACGCATTTGGAGGAAAAAAACAAGCCTTCAAGCATGAAGTTAAGTGACAGAAACAATAACCAGGAAAGGCCTACTGACCGTAAATCCAGACTTGATCATGTCAAAAGACAACAGGGCAGATTTGCATTCAAGCAAGTCGAAGCAGATACAAATAACGTGAGTTCCTCTATTCAGCATTCTGCAACAACTGCTCTGAGCTCTGTGAGTGTAGCCAGACAGCGCAGCTCCTCAATGGAGGTTCCTCACTGCAGAGACCAGGCGAGTCAAGCTGTCAGTGAAAGCCAGGACTACACCATCTCAGAATCTCCACAGAGGAAACTGAAACCTCAGCTTTGTGACTCAGCAAGAAAGGCTTTCATTCTGCGGAGCAAGAGTGCGGATGGAGGGAAAGAACAACCTAAGCATACACATTCTCCCCTCCACCAAAAACTCATCAAGGGCCACAGGTCCAAAGGTCAGTCAAGCCCTCCTGGGCACAGTGTTCCTAGCAAAAGTACAAATCTCAATAAAACACATTGTTCAAACAAGGGATCATTATCTAAAGTTGAGAAAGATGAGAACATTTTGGTACCAACAAGTTCCAAGTCTCTCAAGAGTGTACGCTCTCCCCTCGCATCCCCTGTGAAGCATTCAAAGACATTTAAGCCGCCAGGGATCAATGAATGCTCAAAGAGCCCAACAAAATCATCTTTACAAGTCACTGGACTTCAATCAAGCAACGAGTCTGTGGAAGAGAGCATCTACGACAACTTACCCTGCTCTCCACGAAAACAACGACGCCAAGACCAGCACTTTCCCGCACTTTCAGAACGTAGGTCCCTGTCCCCACCACCACCCCCAGGTCGAACTACTTCTCTTGTCCTTCGTCCCAGTTATGACAGCTTACCAAAAGCATATACATCTGCAGGTCAGGCTCAAAGCTCTACTACTGGCAAGATAAAAACGGGCACCACCAAGCCACAATCATATCTTCCTTCTATTTTACAGCCACAACAATCCAACATAGCAAAGGACAATCAACATACAGCTCCACAACTGGGTGCTGATGGGAAGCCACTGACAGATATCCCTGCCAAGCTCTACCATACCCAGTCATCTAAGATGCCATCTGTCTCACTTCAAGAGTCTTCAGAGTCAGTCCAGCTATCTATGGACAGAACTGCCACATGCCATGATGAACATGGTGCTCCATCTATATTTCCAAGTCAGAGCATCTTACAAAGATCCCAACAAAGCATTAGTGAGCCAAAACTTTCAAATGTATTGTCTCAGGCATATTCTAAGATGTACTGCCATGGGATTGCGAATAATCCTCAGAGTTCCACCTCAAGACCTGTAATTATGTCTCTCCCTGTAAATGCTAAATCTCATGAGGCAATTTCTGGACAGGAAACCAATACCTTCCTAGATTTTGGAAGACATGACAAAGATGATACAAACTCCACTGCAAAAGGTATCCACACCTTTCAGACTTTTACGTGTGATCCCCAGATGATACATGAATGTGGAGCTCACGATAAAGTCCGCAGAAAGATTGAGACCCGCTGTAACTCACTGGATTCTGAGCCCTCTGTTCAACCTGTTGCATCAGATAGCGGTGTGATGTTAGATTGGGGATTTGATGAGGAAGGTTGGCTGTTTAAACGTTCTGTGTCTGTGTCAACCAGACCTCCACTTAAGCCAGTAATGGGAATGAATGGGGCTAAGGCTCGTAGCCAGAGCTTTGGTGCACGCTACATGGACAGGCCAAGCTTCAACAGATCTGGAAAGGTCCGTACCCAGATCAAAACACACTCAGGTAGCTCCTTGAACTCTCTTAGTGATGTCCTTCCGGGAAGTATGAGTTGCTCAAGTAGCTACCATTGTCCAATGAATCGATCCCTTTTGAACAACTTTTTGATTGAAGAGGGCCTGACAGTACCTTCACATTTGGGGTCCTCTAGTGAAAGACTTCAGAGTCTTAAACACCAACGAGAGCAGGCTAGGCGCCTTCAGATTGAGCAACAGTTTTCAAGCGCCTTTGGCGAGCCAGTTTCTGAAGAACCAGAGAGACAAAGTTCTATAACCACAATCGAAGAGAAAGTGATGCTCGGCATAGAGGAGAACTTGCACAAGACTCAGGAACAGGAGAGAACCAGTGAAGTGAAGCAAAAATCGGGCTCAACCTTAGCAAATTGGTTTGGTTTTCGTAAGAGTAAGCTTCCTGCTCCAAGCAGCAAAAAGACTGATCCACCCAAAGTTAAAGAGGACAAGAGGGAGCAAAAGATTACATCACTTCTGGGAGGAAAGCAAACAAAGTCTGACAAAAAGAGAGACAGAAGAAAAAACGATGGAAAAGAATGGTAAGGAATTCCTAAAATCACTATTGAATGCCATCTTTTGACTCGCTTTTCGACTTTCATTGAATCTTCATCTCAACATTAAACCTTCAGTTTTTGTTCCAGCAGATTTTCTTCATAGCTTATTGCTAATGAAGTACTTTAATGCCTCAGAGGACTACGGACATTTTTAATCAAGTTGTCTTAGACACATGTGCTAGTCTCCTTAGCCCAGAGACCAATTGAGACTAATTTCATACAGAGATTTAAAGTGATATAGGGTAATTTATCCAAATCATCCAGGGCATGTTGAGTCAATATCAGAGGATCTCAGTATGTAGTGATCTGTTGACAAACTGTTTTCTTTCAGCTCTGTGGCGATGAGAGAGTCTCATGATGCAGTGCGGGCATGCATCTCAATGCCCTGCCCAGGAATGTCCCTGAATGAGATACAAGGACATACTGACTTCACTGGGGACCCGAAGGTAAATTAAAAAATTTCCTCTCATTTTATTTGTATGTGGCCAGTTTTAGTTCTCATCACAAAAATGTCTTTATAGATGTGTCCCCAAAACCTGTTTTATGTAAAAGTATGTTTGTTTTAGTAATATGACATTACTGTAATTGCACCAGAAAGTACAATATGAACAAAAACAACAAATTTATAAGAAATATACTTATAATTAGTATAAAAAATAAAGTGGGATCAAATGAAAACAGAAAGCTACTACATGACCGTCTTTACAAGTGAGAATTACTTCAGGCTGATTCCACCAACTGTCCCTCCATTTCTTTTTTTTTAATTCTCAACCACTCTTACACACAGTTTCATCATTTCAGCCTTAATTACCAAATCCTATCTTGTGACCTTTTAAATTCATCACAATGTTGCCATTGGAGTCCATTTATTCATCCAAAGAATGTATTAATATTTCAACAAGTGAACACATTAAGTTTTAGTATCAAGCCGACACACTATATCGTAGTTTGAATATGTGATTATTGTTTGAAGTTCAAAACCTGTGAAACTTACTATATGCAGTGCCACTTATCAGTCAATAGAGGAAAATAAGGGTAGAGCTAAAAATGCTAACAGAATATGGAGCAAATTCTTTCATTTGTCACGTTAGGACTCTGACACAGTCAAGGTTGGGTGACACTGTACATGCAGAAGTATGGAAGAACACGTAGGTAACTTCTCTTTTGACTTTCTACAAAAACACATAGATGCAGATGGTGAACCTGAGAGCTGATGGTGAAAATGGATCCACAGTGAAGAGCCCCAACCAGGATGCTGTAATAGGTCAGACTTTTCTAGTCACTGTTTTGTAGGACTCTCCAGAATTCCTTACGGTCACTGCAATGAGTAATTCCCCAATTTGCTCTTTGAGCAATTTCAGCATGCTAGCATTAAGGTGTTATCTGTGCTTACCATTTTACAGTTTGCAGACAGAAGTGAAGACCAAATATGAAAGATATGTGTAAGTCATAAACATGATGAATATGCTACAAACAGTCAAGCAATCATGCAAAATGCTCAATTTTGTCAGTGTGTGCTTTTTCCTCCATATTTCTGTTAATTTTATTTGTTCTATTTCTGCATTTGTTTTTTGTTTTGGGTGGCAGTTTGAATCAAGGCAAACAGGAACCATTTCACCACGATTGTATTTCACTCAGAGTTTGCCCTTTAATGGGGACATTGTATATGTCCTTGACCGCTCATCTTCACAGATCCATGCACTAAAAATTTGCATGCACAGGCTCATCCAATTGGGATGAACCTACTCATCCATATGGTGATCCAAGCTCCTTCATGGCGTTTTTGTTCCGGCCACAGTGATATAGGAAGTTCGACTGGACAGTTCCAGCACTGACCTCTTGTAGAGCTGTGTTGTCATATGATGATGATGATGTTGAGGTGGATTGAGGATGGGATTATCCTTTGTACAGCGCTGCACTTGGAAACTCCAGTCCCAGTTTCCACATTTTTGACCAATTAATTAAGTTGGGCTACGTGTCGCAAGTGGATAAATGGTGGTGCTGTTACAGATTTTGAGCAGTTTGACAGGTTCAGCTTTAGAATACATTTTATCACTCAGAAAGAGCGTATTTAATGATAGCCCCGAGACCGACGCTTCCTGTTACAATTTTTTCATCTTTTTTCTTTTCTAATACGTACATGTGTATTAATTAGGAATGTGCAATGGCTTCTTCTCTAACATGTTAGCCCAAAAATACTTTTTAGGCGAATGGGTTATGTAAGGTCCCATTGTATTGTCTTGACCCTTCGCTAAGTCCCACCCCTCAAGCAAGACTAGCCCATCATAGCGTAGCATCGACGAGCCCCAACCACGGTCCAACAACTATCCTGCTCTGTCTGCTTCATGGACACACTCAATCAGAATGTCGACATTTTGGGACTGTGGATTACGTGCTAGTCTTGGTTAAACATTGTGAAATAGTGAAATTCATTGCTCAGAGAGGTTGGAAGGAGATATATGTTTTCTTGAGAAGGGTAATTTGAATATGTCCAATTCACAAATGATCTAATGACCAGATAATGGCGTGGCATGATCATCACATGTCAAGAAGAATGTTTTTGGGGGGGCAGACGGTTTTGCTGCCCTACATGTCAGGAGGCATAAAGGGCAATGATGAGACGGTGTGAAATGTGAAGTTCAGATAAAAAGGACATGTATTGCTACTGCATGTATTGGTGTTTTCTCCCAGCTTGGGTCTGCTTGGTTCAACCACATTGTGGATTTAATTATCAGGTATTTTCAGATCGGGATCGACTGTCTTTGGGTCTCTTTCGAATCAGTTCTAATAACCCCTGGGTGTGGTTCAAATGGGTCTCTTATTGAAAATGGATTCATGGGCAAGTATCCCAAACACGTATGTCAAAACACTTCAGGTCCATTTTGCTTCGGTCGATTTGCTGCTCAAATGCGATCTCTCTCGCTCACACTGACCAACACACATGAGTTATTTTCCGCTTACTATTTAACTTAAGGACGCAACCTAGCCAACAATGAGAGAGGAGACTGAAACTAGACAACAAGTAAAACTTAATTTGGTCCTTATTTCATTGTGGTCACTTACTAGGTTAAAAATAGCTGCAGATAAAACTCTCCACATCGCTCAGGTAGAGGACGCTGACAGACCCTGCTGGATTTTCAGTGGCCAGAGTGACACCATGGGCAAGACGCTGCAAATATCAAGCGTATTTGATTCGGGCGACTGCCTGCCCTCAGGGTTTAATCACCTCATTAAAATTTCAGTACTGCACCAGTTAAGCACGCTCACCCAAGCCACTGCTGAGTGAATTAAGTTTGCCTTCAGCTGTGAGCTGAATTAAACCATCCAAGCTTGGCATGAACTTGTCGGGCCTCATGAAGAGTTGACAGAATAGTTTTTAACTTGATGCTTCAAAATAATGCGAGTCAAACGAAAAACAACATTAGTCACAAGGTCTGTAGTTTATACTGAGGTGCCACATTTGTACATCTGAGACTGTTTTTGTTATTTCTCATCAAATTAGACTTCTTCTTCTCTCTTATTTTAAAGTTCTATTATTCGCCGATGGGGAGTGACACTGTCACGGTTTAGGCTTTGCCCCTGTGTTCCTGTGTTTCTGTGTGTGTGTGTGTGTGTGTGTATGTATGTTTCCCCTGATTACACTCATCCTACTCACCTGCCCAGTCCACCCAGCTGCCTTCAATCTTCTCATCACCCCACACATATATACTCCCCTGCTTTCCCTGTTCTGGTTGTCAGATCGTCCTTGTTCGTTCCCGCATTGTGTCTCCCTCGTGTCTGCTCCGTGCTCCAGCGTTTGCTCCTCGTGTTTGCACCTGGTTTGCACCTTTCCCTTTTTTTGTGACTTTACCCAGTTTCCAGGCTAGACCGCTGATTAGCTAGTCGGCACTTTGAACTACAAGTAATGTACCTGCAAAAGTTTAAATGCTAACTGTAAAAATCTTTATCCAGACAACAGGGCTTAGGGTTAGGGTTCTGTCGATTCAGCTGTCAATCAACACACTTGCCAAAGAATAAATCTGGAGATTATTACTGCAGTGCTGCTTTGTGACATGGAGCAGTTATTGATTGAGCTTGGCATAACAGAGAGGGGATGTGATGTGAGGAGGACAACAACCTCACCGTACATGCGAAAGGCTTGTTGAAAACAATCATTTCTCAGCCTCTGTGATTCTGCCTTTCCAGGGAAGAATGTGTCGCAGCGGTTCTTGTTAACTTCCAACTAAAGGCCAAACTAATCAATAGTGTCTCTGTTCAGTGTCTTCTCAATTCAATTAATTGTTCTTGTTTACAACAGGGTATAAATGACCATTTCCATCTCAAGCGCTGCTTCACTGACAGACACTTAAAGCAAAACAAATGTGATACATGAAAAGCAGCAATTGTCATATAACTGCAATGGATGTTAGTGACATTGCTACAATGTGTCCGTCACTCATGCTCTAAATTAAGCTATTCCGAGGTGCTAAGATGTTTTTTATTGCTGCTTACGTTGACATTTGCAACTTTTAATATGATGTGTGTCGTTTATTTTAACGGAAAAGTACTATACATAAAACTGATCCTATAACATTTCCCTTGGGTGACAAATTTGAAAAACTCTATTAATTTGAGCACTCTAGCTTAAACATGGAATGAGAAAAAAGGGGGGGGGGAAATGAGCTTGTATCCCAGAAGAGGGGTGTAAAGTCTTAATTAATAAAGGGGGAGCAGCTGTTGCCTTTGCTCCAGTGTGAGATTGCCTGCAGGTTCCTGCCACAGGGTACATATAACATGAGCCTGCATGACAACAGCTGGAGGATATCTTTTTGACAGATTTGTTTTGCAAGATAGACGATTCTCTGATCCAACAACTGTTATAATGTGTAATTCTGGAGACACAATGTCAGACTTTTGATTGAACAATGCAAATTCTGCATCTTTAATCTCAAAGCTGAGAAACATCACATACAACATAACTGTGTGTTTGGCAGTTATGTTTGATATGTTGCAAACAAAATACACACTTATGGGGTTGTATTTATGTTTCATGTCGTATGCCATTCCGTGCCTTTCACAGTGTGATCAATGCATGCTAGTATTCGCACACCCATTAAACAACATCTGTAATACAAAGCAGCAGTGGTTTAAGTGGGCTTCATTTGTATTGGCCGAGTCGTCCTCTGTGGGGGGCTACATGTAGGGTGTGATCAGCAAAATCTTTACCCATCCTTTACACTAGTGTGTAATTATATGTACTGAACCACCATTTTTCAACTTGGCTTTTAAGAGGAAACCATCGGCAAGCATGAGTAGAAAAAAAAAACAGACCAACCATCTGTTGCATGTCTGCTTTGAAATGATCAAAAACACAACACTAGAATCCACTCCTTAGAGCTCAAACAGTCAAGATAATGTTGCAGGAACAACAAGGAGGCATCAGGGAAACAAGCTTATGCAGAAAGGTAAATTAATATTGATTGGTAAAGCTGCTCTCATTTGATAGTGAACGTTTTTCAACTGATTCAAATCATCAGTTATCATTTCTAGCAGCTTATCCACAGCCCAGTCAAAAATGGTTTGCTTTGTACGTTTCTTCAAACCACTGATACGTTGAATGTCAATGTTTTTGAATTGGATCTGAGCAAGTCATGTAGTATATTGAGTGACTATGTATAATTGTGCGTTGCTGCAAGCGTGATACGAGGTTGATATGAAACACGTTTATACTTGTTTTTTTCCTTCAGAAATGTCGACGTTCAATGTATACCGTGGGTGGCAGAAACATACAACGCCAACAATTTTTGTGTTGACTGGGTTGTTATCCATGAATGACAAACAGTTTATTCTCCACATGGAACAACTTACCCCAGACAGACTGTCCTTCGAGACACTAGACAGTCAATTATTATGTTAGTGTATATACATTTTACAGTTTCTTTAGTGCCACTTCAACCATGGTTACCCTGTTGTTTCCTTCCTGTTGTTCTCCTTGTCTTTCCCAAGCCCCTGAGCCACTTCGACTGTTCTCCTTGTGCCGCAGGCTCCGGCTGCAAGATGCGAACGTTGGACAGTGGAATTGGGACCATCCCCCTTCCTGAATCCTGTTCCTTCTTCGCCTCCATCCTGCACCTCCTCCCCAAATCCTCATCAACCCCAGAACCGTCCCTCAGTCCACCCAGTGTCCCCGGTTCCTCCAGCGAGGACATGTCTCTTTCCCCATTACCCCGGTGGAGAATACCCTCCAGCTTTAAGGACTGCAGCCATGCAAGGCTGCCGAACTCCCTCTCCGACTCCTCTATGACCCATATCCAGTCAGTGCCTTTCCCCACTGTGGCCTTCCTCCAGCCCATCCAACCCCAATCTGAACCCATTGTGACCTCTGCCAGTGTGTGTGATACCCAGAGCAGGCTGCCCAGACTACCACCAGGTACAGTAAAGCCACAGAAGTTTCTGCAAGAAGCACAGTGTGTGTGTGGGCTGCTGAAGTGAAGATGACGCTCGTAGGGTTTTCTCATTTCTCTTCCACTAAACTCCTGAACTCATCTCATAGATAAAAAAATGTAATCTTAAATGCAATTTTTTTTAATATAACAAATTGTTCTGTATAAGCTATATAACAGGCTGCAAATTTCTGACATCTGTCACTCTCGTTCAAAAAGGAAATACCCAATGAACTTTCTGCTCGTGTAATTCATTATTCATTTATCCATTGTGAGGAGCATGTTAAGAAGATGTTGTTCTCCACCACACACACGCTATATATTTTCATCAGCACAGTTTCAAAAGGACTATGATGGGAATGGGGAACACAGGTACACTTAATGAGCTGGTGCTCAGTTAAAGCAGCTGTGTCTCGCTTGATTGACTTTATTATTTGAAAGTGATTGGCAATCTGTTCTCATTTCAATCTTCCTTACGTTTATCACAAGTCACGTTGCAGCAGTAAAAGAAAAAAGAAAAGTTTTTTTTTTAATGTTACAGCCTGGAAAGCTAGTTACTGTTGCTATAAGCCTGTCCAGCGTTCCATTCTTGCATGGCATGCAGTTTATAATGATTTCTGTGGAAAATTTATGACTCGCAATTTGTAGTAAATTTTTGAAAAACCTGATTTCAGACAGAGGTAGACAAAAGCAGGCAGGCTTCTCATTTCTGACGGCCATCAATTGTGCAGGCTGAAATGGCAACTGTCGCTTGCAGGTTTTATTAAAGTTGCTCTAGCTAGCTAGCTAATTAAAGTCATGTTTCACTTGTTTCTTAGTGCAGATTGCTAACCCTACAGCCCAACTGACAGCCCAACTTTATATGTCAGTCGTTTCTTCTGACACACAGTGACTACTTTTAACAGTTTGATTTAGGCCACCTAAGCTGTCAACCCATATTTGATGAACTAGACTCAAGCTTCATTTGCACATTGTTTCAGTTTGGAGAGGTGGCTGTCACTTTCAGGTCAGAATTACAATGTTGTCATCTTTCACGATGCTTTAGACCTCACTCAAATCTCCTGCCACTTTGAATTCAGAATGATAATCTTGCTCTCTTTGCAGATGTCAGATGTCAGCCTGTCTGTGTCATTCTGTTCTCCTAACTTCACATTTAACTCCTTTTCTTGACAGGAGAGAGACTAAAGTCTGACTGCTGTGAAAACCTCTGAAATAAGTTTCATTCTGTGCTTTTTTTTCCAGGTGGGATGGAACCAAAGAAGTTAAGCTATATCAAATCGAAAACACGAGCCACTCCAAGCCAACAGAAAGAGCAGACAAGACTTCAGCTTGCCAACTGTAAGAGACGATGGAACAGGTTTATTTAAGTGATAACTTCAGGCCGAAAACCTGTTATATGCTGTGTCCACATATCATTTTTCCAGTGTCCACATTTTTATTCTCTAAATATTTTATCCAGTGTTACACTGAGAAGTTCCTTCATGATAGGATACTAAAAAAACTAGAGAAACGATTTTTAGGTTATTACTTCTGAGCGTCAAAGTCAAGTCACTGTGGCGTGTAGCTACAAAGATGAAGTGAAGTGCAACAATTTCTCTTCATGTCGTAGAAACTGTACAGTTTGCCTCAAAAGTGCATTTAAAATGCTACTTTCCTGTAAACTCATTTTCATCCCCACAGAGCAGAAAGTAAGCTTAATGGTAACAAATAAACACATGACTGACAAGTTTCACAAACATCATTTGCATTTCACTGCAGTACATTTATGCTGATATTTCCGACCCGTGCGTGTGTGGTAAATATAAGATAAGAACGTACGATATACCTTTGGGTTAACCAGCCACAGGTTTCATGTTGCACAGGTGCTGTCTGACACACAAACAAAATGCCCATAAAGATTCTGTGTTGGGTGTAATGATTTTATTAAATCAGTTTCATTTACAGAAATACTCATTTTCTGTACAAGGTTATAACGCACAGTTTTCCCACAGTAGCAATCCAGAAATCCGATCAGGTGCCAGTTGAACTTAAGCAACTGATTTATGTGGGGAAAATGATACAACTTCACATCAACATGCAGGGTAGTAGGTTTCTTACAAATATCATCCCTGCCCACTGCAATCAAATCACAAGTTGTCTGTTTCTATTTGCATTTAACCACAGTGCGTGCAGGAAAACTGCAGCTGGTACATGTTAAATTAACTTCCAACAACACAATACTCTTGAAATCACCATAAACTGTAATTTGAGGTGCTCTGCAGTCAGTGGAAAGAGTTTCGGACTTTGTTTTGAATAAAATTGGCTCTGTATGTGCAGGTTCTCAGAGCACACAGAGGATTTGTATTGCAGTATGTGATTTAACCATTTCCGGGGAAATAAACAAATAAATATTGCATTATACAAAACAATTTATAAAATGATGTTACTTTTCTTTATATGGCAGATGCTGTTCGCATGCATGGCATCGTGCTGCAGGATCTCACTCTGCTCTACATCTTCCATTTCAGAGTTACTCAGCCATCCCGAAGCAAGGAATCAATCAATCAGTTGGATTTATCACTCGAACACACATGGAGGATCCCTAAGTCCCACCGTTTGGATACGGCGTGTCTGTGTCAGGATGAAACACTCAGAGCTGGACAACAACTGAGCTTGGCATTGCAGGCTTCCCCCTAGGTTTTAGTGCAGTGTGGAGATACTGAGTAGCCTTTCAGGTGTAGTAATCAACCTTCTGGCATCCATTTTGGAGGTTTGCAGCTCATTGGCATCAGCTGGGAGCAGCTGGTTGAAATTCTAAATGTACAGCTCTGCTGTCTCACAGGACTGGAGGTAAACAGACAGTTATTTTCCTTTACACTTTTTTTTTTTTTGTTTTTTCCCCACCCTGAGAAGTAATAATTTTGACAAAAACATGCACGTGGCCGGCTTTTTTATTTTGGTGATGTGCGGTTAGCTACTGTATCTCTTTCAGGGCTACTTGTAATCATCTCATGAACACAGTTGCACACAAGCTAACGCCTGAACAGTGGGTCCAGTTTAAGCTAACATACGTGGCCTGCAGCTGCGAGTTTACATTGAGACGACATAACCATGCTCGTTAGCTAGCTAAACTAACTGTTCTGAGTTGTTTCTGATTGAAATGTTCTAACAAAGCGGTATACATAGGACTGTTAGTACTTTGCGGACACACTGTTTATAGTTCCATAATCTAAACATCGAAACACATTACAGCAAATTTCCTAACCTGGTTTTTTAAAACTTAAAATGTAGCCACTAGTGCACAGAGCAAATGCTTAACACAATGACTGACATAGCTAACATAGTTTGCAAGAGCCTATTTTAATATCCAGCAGACAAAAAGCAGCGTCCTATCTGATTGGTTCTGGCCACTTTACGAATCTTATATTCAAAGTACAACACATAGTCCTTTTATCCCGCTTTTGGTCTCCACCAACTCTTTAGAAATAGTTTTGGGTCTTGCAAGCTGTTTCACTACATGAACAAGCCACTCGGTAGCTTTCTCATTTGGTGCGCACAGTGGGTTTATCTGACTGTGCGCCTGCACAACCAATACAATGAGCCAAAAGAAGCTAAAAAGTATCATTTGATTCCATTTTATTTAAAAAAGAAAGAGAAAAATTGGTTAATGCAGGTTCAAACCACCAAATCACCACCAGACCTCCATTATGGCACCAGCTGTGGCCACTTTTGGAGATTAATGATGCAAATTAAAGGCCTCCACTAAAATCCTGCTGAGCATGGATTGTTTAGACATTTATTTGCATTCTCCAGCAATGTATGAACATTTTAATAAATGTTTATATGAAGATCAAATTTTGCTTAAGATCTTGTGAATATCTAAGCTTCAATAAATATGTCAGTAATTTATTTTCGGATGGAAACTTATAAACTCAAGATCACAAATTATGACTTCCATCCTGCAGACATTTTATGTACAGCACTTACTACTGATTGCCATTCATGAGCTCTATACCTGACTTGGTAATGTGATTCTTTAAAGTGTGCACTATCTTGTTGGAAACTTTTTTTTTTATTGTCACAATGTTAATATCAACTTGCATGCAACCACCCTCGGACTTATTCTAACCACAGAAATGCATCGTATGAATCTGATATCCATTATATGACGAGTTTCATCACAAGAGGTAAAAAATACTGATGAGGGAAACTTGATATGCACTGCTCAGTTTTTATGACATATTACACACATTACATATTGTCATTACATAAGCAAAGGTCTATTTTGAATATCCTCCATCGTGGATCTGACTATCACGCTTGAAATTACTTTAAATACGTTTTGAAAACAGTGCACATTGCATCTTGTCATGAAACTCTTCACGTGTGTACTGCGTTCTGTATTTTTTAACATATTTCCACAGTTATGACATCAAGACAAAGCAGTGAGTTTTGCATGTAACCTTAGCACCTAGTAGGCACATTGTGGACATTGTTGTGCTAGCTCAGGGAAAATACCATTTATTGTCTCTGATAGATGCTGTGGATTTAATAAGTAAACCTCAACTTTAAAATGTGCAACCATTTCATTGCAGCCAGTGAACCAGCCCAGTCCCTAGGAAAAGGCATTGTACGTTTGTGCAAACCACGGATACGTTGGATACGTTTTGCATTCGCTCGGAGCAAGTGTGTAGTACAAAGAGCGATACGCAGAGCAAGTGATGTAGTTTATCCAGCGACCATTAGTGAAAGATAACGTGGTACAAAAACAAAAAAAGTACAATGAGCATTACAGGGGAGGTGGGAGGTGTGGTGGATGGGTCAAACAAACACAGATTTCTGTTCATGAACCGTGTGAAACCAAAAGTAGACATTGACTTTACGCATATTACGTAATGTTTTTGTATTGTTACGTTATTATGTTAACAAACCATTAACTTTTTTTCTACCCTTAACCAAGTAATTTTATTGCCTCAACCTAACCAATTGTTTCACAATGTTAATCACGTTCCATTGAGTGTTTCTGCAAGTGTCATACAAGACTGGTATGAAATTGTTTCAGAAACATTTGCGTAAACATTTGCAGAAATATACAATGACATATTTTCTGGCGACTGGGTTGAGTGAACACACCAGATTTCATTGTTCTGTAATGGTTTAAGGATATTACCTGAACTCAATATTTTCCTCTTGTCAGTTTTTGTCTGGACATTTAACTGTATAATACCTCACCAGTTTCTCTCTCTATTTTGTATGCTGTGTCCTTTATAGTAATGTTTTTGGTGTTTTGAATGCATCCCGACTTTTAGCTGCTTTGCGATGTTTCCCCCCCCTCACACCTTTGTCGGCTCCCTGCCCTTCGTGCGTAAATGTTTGCCAAAATGCATATTGCCAAACACTGCTCTGAGCTAATCGTATACAGAAAATGAATGCAACTGAATCTACATATCAGACTTGTCATGGTGACTATAGCCATATTGTTTTGAAACCCTAGACACAGTTCACACTTTCACGTGATGTAGAACCATGGAGCACTGTACCGTTGCACAATGTCATTAGTCATGTCATTTAACTGTATTTACCTCTTTAAATCTTTACTCACTTGCTACATGTATATGTTGAAGGTAATAATTGTAAACTTAAAGGGGAGTTCATGCCAATAGCATCACACAGGTTTAATGACTGAAATATGTAGCGTACATAGGTGAGACGAGGTGTTAATGGATCAGGGAACAGATTGGCTATACTGATACGGGTCGATGGAGCATGGTGTCTGTGTTTTTAAAATGGCTCACATAATGAAGAGTCTCACTCTCACAAGAGTATTGTATTTTTCTAACATTTACTCTAATGCCCTGCATTTGCACTCAGCACTGATGAGTGTAATTTACCATTTATTGCACATATTGTTACTCACTATTACAGTTATTCTCCCTCTAAATGTTTTTTTTTTTCAGAACCCAATAATAACAGTGATGTTCTCGTGTGACAGTCACCTTAGCAGTGCGGATTGAGAATTGTATATTACTGATATTCTTTGTTTTATGTAAAAGAAAGAGAGAAAAAAATAAACAATTTCAATACTTATACAACATTATGGATTCTGCCTTTTGGTTTGTTGTATTTGAGTGAATTCATGTGGCTAAAAGAAGCAACAGGTGTGATTTTTATGCAAACAGGGGAGACCGTTTCCTCCACTCCCAGATTCCAGCCCAATCTCTCTGCTTGCCTGTATGAAAGATGGAAGCGCTACAGAGCACTGGGTCCAACTTACTTTTCCAACTCTGTGACAACAAGAGTTGTTTTTTTTTTCCATTAAATGCAAAGCAAACAATTTGCAGAATACCAACCAACATGTCATGTGCACTGGACCAGAATTTCTCAAACTGGAAGCAAACTCCTGCTGAGCTGCCAAACAGTGTTGTCAGATGAAAACTAAAAATGAAAAAGCAAACAAAAATGAAGGCTTATTCTAAAATTGACATCCATGTGTTGCAGTAATTGGTGTGAGGTTTAGTGAAGGACAACAAAGTCAAGGAAATACAGTTGAAGTGTGTGAATAAGAATTTCCTTACAACACTGGCAGTGTTAGTTTCTTTTTTATCATCTGTCCACAATCACGATCTTTCCATAACATCAAAGGAATAGTTCCACATTTGAAAAAACGTGCTTCATAATTTTCTGCTGAGGGTTAATTAAGAAGATTGATGCCACTCTCATAACTAGGAGCCAGGAGATGCTTAGTTTAGTTACCTCAGTTTAGCATACAGACTTGAGGTGGGGGTAACAGCCTGCCTAGCTCTGTATAAAGGTTTAAAAAAAAGAAAAATTACTTACGAGCACCTGTAAAGCTCACTAAGCAAAATATTTAATGTGTACAAATACATAAGTTACAGTCTTACATGTAACAGAGTATTTTTACGTACGGATTGTACCGATTAAACAAATCAGATAGGCTATGTCGTCTTAATTAGACAGAACTAGGAGTGTTTCCACCTGTGACACACATGAGCGTGGTATCCATTTTTTAATTCTAACTAAGGCAAATAGGTGTATTTCCTGAAATGTGAAATTATTCTTTTTTACGAGGCTAAGTGACACCAGACACTGTTGGCTCTCCGTTAACACTTTAAGCCAAATAAGAAGTGAGCATGGTGCCTTGATCAAATGTACTCTTGTGTGCAATTGTGCAACTCTTCCCCTGACAATTATAGTTCCCACGATCTCATTAGCTGTATAGTGTAACTACCAAACCACACATCATTCCAAGGGAGCAGATAAGATTGATTGGACTGATTGATCAGGTGGAAAGGGCCGCACAGACGCTGAATCAGGTGCTTCTCAGAACAAGGACGGCAAACTTCAGAGGACAGGCCTGAAATCAATCAGTGTCTTCCAGTCTTTTCTTCTCCTCTGAGACGTGATTGATAATGAACAACATGACCCACAGAAATGTTGTGCAGTTGAGTTCACAATGAAAGATTTTATTTACATGCATAAGTAAAACAAAAATAAGAAAAAACACATATATATCCTGTATTTATACATATTTTGACCTACATTCAAATAAAAAATTATGATGAAACTGTCTCTAATGCTTTTCCATAATAAACGCACTAACCCTCTTAAAATCAGCATTAGTTTCTTTGAAAGAGACTGATTTATGATCGATCTTTTAGAGCACTTTGCTCATCTGGTGTTTAATTACCTCTACCAAAGAGGTTACGTTTCACTTTCACTTGTTTGTTTGTTGTCAGCAGGATTACAGAACACGTACTGGCCTGATTTTCATGACACTTGGTGTACATTAGTAATTTTTGTTACTTTTGTTAACATTGTAAGATGGGGCATTAGGCCTTGGCAGAGATGCTCTTTGAGAGCCCTTCTCATTCTAGCATGTTTTAGAAGTGTTAACTGTAACTAAATCTTTCAAACCCAAAAAGCACACAACGGTGGTGAAGATTTTTTTACAGCCCTGAGTGGTGTCTGCAGTTCTTTACTTCAGTCTTCAAAGGGCCTCAACACCCTCCACCAATGAGAGAGGTGGCCAAATGGTTTTTCCTACTGTGGCGAAGGATTGACCCGCCCTACTCAACATTTGTATCAACCCAGATCTTGTCCTATCTGGACAACGATCACTGATCAGTCAGAGAAAAATGTTCAGAAATGTTTAGTAACAAAAAAATCAATCTGAACAATAAAGATAGGATTTTGAAAAGTGAGGCATGTCCCCCTATCCCATCCCCAGTAAAACATTACGTCCTTGTCCTTGATGCCAACAAAGAAGCTTAGATATATTGTTCTTAACTGTAAATGAAGTGGACAAACAGCCTATCCATATCAAGGTTCCTGTAACCTTGTGCAGTTTGAGCTGTCAGAGTAAATGCTTTAAGTCCTAGCGTCTTATACTCTTGTTGACATGATTTTATTTTGATTTATAGACAATAATTCAATAACAAGGCATGCATTATGATTCTTTTCCAAAGATAAAAACGTCTCATACGTCCCTCATAAATTGAACTCATTTTGTTCAAAAAGCTTTGCTTTCACTTTTCAGATGCATGCAGGATTCTTTTCTGATCTGATGGTCAGTCATCCTTGATTAGTGTTGCTGTTATGAAAGGTTCTATGCATAATGCCTCCCAGTGTGCCATCAGTCATGTTAGGACACTCGTACTTAGAGGCTGCCACAGGGAGAAGCTGGTGCACATTTAGCTAAACTCTCCTAAATGCAGTGTTGCTCTCACTGCTGACGCCTGACTAAGAGTGTATTTCATTCTAATGCATAAAAAAATGAAGTGAAACTCTCAAATTAGGAATTCCAGTCAGTACATTTTTCTCCTAAAATACTGAACCATCTTTTATTCTGACAGCTATAGCTGCCTATTATGTCCTTTACTTTCATACTAGCGGTTTCACTTTAAATGTCTTCCTGAACACCTCATTTCAGAGCAAAAAGTGTCCTGTTTGATGTTGCGAATCTTCACATTGCCTAAAATGTTGTGTAAATGACCCGTTTGCTAATTTAAAGTTCCACCAAAGAAGGGATTCATAACATTCATGTGTGTCTTAATGTGTAATTATCCTAGTTCCATTCGAGCTGATTAGCACAATAAATCACTAACAACTTCCCCACAGCCTCTTGATGGAGCACTGACAACGTGTTTCATCCGCTAATTGAAACAGGTTGATCATGATGACTGAATGAAACTATTGGAGTTCGTACGAAGGATTGAGACGGACCAAAATCCTCTGGGACCGGTAAACAATGACAAAGCATTACGCGACCCCCCCCCCCTCCCCTTTGCTGCAGATCAGCAGTTTGCTCTCATCTTGGTTTCTTCTGCACCGAAATACTCCTCTTACTCTTCATGCAGCAGTGTGCTGGTCGGTGTGGTGAGGCATATACAGTATAAATGGGTTGGTTGTCGGGAAAGAACAGGTTGATATGGTGTCGGGCTCAGCACCAACGGCCACAGTTGTGAAGCAGAAATTGTTCAGCGAGGTTTCAGCCCCATATGAAATAATAGTCCACGCTGTACAGCACTGAAAAGACTAATCCATCTTTTGAATATGTGAAAGAGTTTCCAACCCCCCCCCCCCAAGTGTTACAGACGGTGTTATTAGTTTTTGAAAAGTGCCTCACTTCACAGAGCCTTATCGCCGAGCCTTTTGTGGCACATGCTGAACTGGAGAGCCTCTCTGTTTACCTCTAACTTATGATGCATTTCACGGCCTGCAATATTTTTCCTCAGGCACATGTTGGTTTATGATTTGGTTCATGAAAAGTAGCCCTTTCAGGTCCCACGATAACACTTTGTTCCCCCTGAGACCACAAAACCCATGTTACCCAAACATTGCATTTGAGTTACCTTTTGTCTAATCAGAAAAATCATGTATCACTTGTTTCAAAGATCCATGCATACACATCATGCAGTGAAGATATATTGTCTCTGTGTCTCTCTGTCCCTCCTCTACAGTCAGATTCCCTCTTGGCCCATTTGCCATCCATCCAACAGATGAAGCTCAAACTTCCCAAATGCCCAGTGCAACCTGCACCATCTATTTACGCCCCTGCTTTTATAACAAAGTGGGTAGATGCTATCATCTTTAATAGATTTGATATATTGGGTCAAAGGGGGGATGGAGATAAAACTGAAGCGTGGTAATGAAGTGATTTTCTGCACTGAGATGACTTAAACTCTGATTGGGGACTTTGGAGGTGAAAGCGCTGAATCTGTACTGTCAGTTTAATTTCTGTAAAATGACGAGCTATATATAAAGCAAAAATTCTGAAGTTATTTGGCCTCTGTAAGACAGATTTAGGGTAGTCGGAAGAGCAGAAAGAAATGCCTGTTTATGAGTCTTCATGAGACTTTAATGATCCCTATAGAGTGCTGCAGGAAAGAGTCCTAAAACCTGGAAATAAGTCAGCAGCATCATTGCGCTTCCGGTTCCCTCGTCCCAAAGCCAATGGGTTTTTTTTAATGGGGTTTCATTTAGATGCCTAAAATAAGGTCTGTGGTAAACACAAGCTTAAGATATCTTAAATTTAGTTTTACGATACAAAATATGTCTGTAGATGCACCTCTTGGAGTGTTTAAGCTTTAAAGTGTCTTAAAAAGGCGGTTGCTAACAAGTGGCTAAATGAGACTACAAAAACGGCATTACGCCAACTAGTCTGCCTTTACAGCCTCTTTGCGTTCATGTTCAGGCTCACATGACCATGTAGTTTGGCGATTGCATTCACGCTTCAAAAATCTTAAAAAGTGTTATTCATTTATGAAGATTATCTTGCTGAACATAACATGTAAGTATCACACATGTTTGCTTGCCACAAAACTTATTTTCTGCATGAATCCCAAATCCAATAGAAAAATCCCACTGGCTTTTTGTGGAATTTACTGACTGGCCTACAAAAATACATGTCTGCACCAATGGGGAAACCAGTTCATTGCAGTAGCAGTAAATGGGATTTTTAACGGACTTAAATAGAAATAAAAAATAAACATGACATAATGTTAGATGCCCACAGTAGTAATAATGATAAGAAAGCACATTGGACGTTCATTTTCCATCGCTGTCATAACAGTGACTTTTTGGATCACGTGGTACACAATACAGCCGAGCGCGTGCGTCAGCGGCGGATAGAGGTGAAGCGTCGGCTCACCATGACAGGCTGCCAGCTGCTGTGTCTCCGCGCCTCAGACCCGACGATCATCCGCCTCTCATGTTTTTGCTCCGAGTCCCACTAAGCGGACCATGCGGCTGTTCACCGTCTCAACTTTGCTCCTGTTTTTCCTCAGCTCAGGTAAGGACGCACAGCTTCTCTTTCGAAACACTTCACCGGATTAAAGTCCGATTTACAGACAATCGTTAGACACTAAAAACTTATAGTTCCTTTTTTTGGAGAGAGAGCGCGCACAGCTTGGAGCGATGCGCGCTGATCCATCGCTGTCTTTTTTCAAAGTTGAACAGATTTCTGATCTGTGCCTCCGCTTTATGATGAGGGAAAACTTGAATGTACTGAGATTAAAGTATCGATTGCCACATATTTATTATTGACACCCATAGGAGATTGTTGTCGCTTAAAGCTTGGTGTGGCACGCGCTTTGCGCCTTGAACGATATAGGTAAGTTTTCATAGAGGCTGCATCAACAATGTTGAAACCATCGACTCCAGTTCAAACAGTGAAATGTCTCCCTGATTTTTACCTCTTCTTCATCACCAATTGCTCCAGACTATTTCATCCGTGGCGGAGGGAGAGCTTTTTGTTGAGTATAAAATAATAATTACAATAAATGTAGTCGAGTAAAACTTACAATATATTTCATTGTGAAACGTGATGGAGTGAATAAGATAACATGGAAATACCCAAGTAAAGAACAAGTACCTTCACTGTACTCATGTAAATGTGCTTCGTCACATTCCATCACCGAAAATACTTCCACTATTAAGTCTATTAATCAAATCTCCTGTTCAATGCATTACTGTCCACTGCCAGGCAAAGTTTTACAGATGATGACCAAAGGTTGTCCTTCTCAATGCCAACAATATGTTTAAATCTGCAGCAAATGCAATATTCATTCTCATTTCTGATGTATGTGGTTGTAGAAGCCCCTTATCAGTTTTTAAAATATTGAAAGATGCTTGGAACTGGTCTTTTGAAACATAAATAAGGAAAGATTATAAGCCAAAACATTTTAATTGTCAATGTAGTCTGAATAAATTGATGGGTCAATGCATTTGTGACTTGAGGGCATCCCGACTGGTTCATGAAAAACTGTTCAGTCATTCAGATAAATCATTCAATAAAGCATGTTCACTGTCAGCATATCAGTTTTTCAGTAGAAAATACTGAGATATCGACAATCAAAGCCGGACGTGATGAAATGTTGCCAAACATGTTGCCAAAATAAATGTACCACCAGCAGCTCCAATGCAGCTGAATAATGGAGCATGTCTGTCACATCAATTTGAGATGGTCGGAGTGCAAGGAACCAAAAGTCAGAATGTTCAAGAAAATGAAAACTGAATTTCACTCAGAGATGGAACTCTCTTTATTCATGATACGACAAAAAATAAATGGAGCATGTAAATGAAAAATGAGTAAGTGTTGTGGCTGATGGTGGAGACCTGCTGAAAATGATCATGAAAATACAAGGATTAAATAATTAGGGGAGAAACATGTGATCAAATATGTGACCAAAAAACTTCTAATACATAGACAGAGAGCAATTTTTTTTATTACAAGTTCTCTGAAATTGTATGTTTAAATATGCAAAGTAGGCAATAACTTATTAAATATGTGCTCATTTGCATACATTTCCAGAACACAAATCTGAACACTGGATAAAGCCAGATTCAAAATTCTTGTTCAGTTTTGTTGACATGTTAGAGTCAAAGGTTCTGAGGGAATTTGGATATCTCTTTGTATCACTCATAAATCAGAAAATATACAGTAATGTCAACAGCCATAAATTAGGCTATGAATGATATATGAACAAACTTTTTAGTAAAAACCTTTCAGAATATCGATAGGAGTGCAACTGGAAAGTTTGTCTATACTTAAGTGCTACTGAGGTGGATATTGTGACTCACAGTTTGAGAAAAAACTAATTTTGAGAAACCTGAATTCAAAGAAATGTATAATTCCATACATTTTGAAGATGCTATAGGTGAATAGTGTAAAAAATGCAACTAATAGATATCATCATGAAATTCCATAGATGATTACCTACACTAAGACAATTATTTGTACAAGGTTTCTGAAATTCGATGGTTAAATATGCAATAAGTCATTATCTAATGCTAACTTTGGATGAATTTAGGCGAAATCTACAGATGCAAATAGACAAAGAAGTAAAATAAACACCTACTTTTGTATTTGGGATGTTTTCTTTCCACTAGTCTGAGAGAAGACACGTTATCAAAGGAAAATAGAGCAAAATCGCAAAATTGACTAGTGCATGAAAAACAATGTTTTTGCCTGGGGTTACTCCCCAATGTGTGTGTGTGTGTGTGTGTGTGTGTGTGTGTGTGTGTGTGTGTGTGTGTGTGTGTGTACGTGTTGCAGGGCTGGCTCTGCAGATCCAGTGCTATCAGTGTGAGGAGATGACACACGACTGCTCCACGCCAGAGTTCATAGTCAACTGCACTGTGAACGTGCAGGACATGTGCCAGAAGGAGGTTCTGGTGAAGGATGATGGTAAGTCGCGTCACTAAGCGTGTTCCTCCTCTCTGCTGTCATAAATAAGTGTGTTTTCCTCTGAGGATATATCAGAGCAGAACAGGCTCCTGTAGAATATGGACAGATTGGCCTCAATCCAAGTAAAGCGGATTAGATGTTGGTGGTGACATGGATCTGGGAGGATCTGAAGAATTCTCTTAGTTGTTGTCATGAAATCGATATAGCTTAAAACTGAAGTGATAGGAGGGATGTCCGCGTGTGGAAAGCTATTTAGTGTTGTGCCATCTAGCTGTTCGTTTGGTTTGTATGCGTTGTGCACTCACACCGTCTGTTCATTGTAATGCTCAGACACTAATATTTTCTGAATCCATGGATCATAATTCTTTAAAAAAAGGATGTTTTGAAATGGAAACAGTTTGTCTGGCCTGTTTGAAATGTCCTTTAACTCAAAGACAAAGAAGGAGGGCGGGCTCTCCAGCATGCTCAGCCAGAATCCAGGCTCTCCGCTGTGAGCGGAAATCGAACTGATCTGAGGTTAGCACGGACACGCGCCTCAGTGCTCTGTCATTAAAGAATGAAAGTCTCAGCTGCAGGCAGGTCAGTATTTGAAATAGAAGTCATGAATATAAACTATTCCATTTCCATCTGAGGAGAAAATCTACCAGCCCATGCATGCTGTGCATGAAATGGCAGGTGTGTGTCCTTTGTGTATGTCCAGGCCTTTCCAAAAACCTCAAATCCTGCCAATTTATCCAGCCGATATTAACTTGATGCGGATATATCGGCATTGGTGGATATGTTGGCCAATAAGCTACAATGATGATGTTTTTTATGTGAATTCTGAGATTTTTAGTAACCTGGGGGGCATGGCTGGGCAATATTTAAAAATGTTCCAACCAACCAAGGTCAAACCAATTTTTCCGCAGGTAAAAAAAACTTTGAAAAAAACAGCAGACAAACAATGTTAGTCACTAGCTGTTGGCTGTTGGCCATAATGGATCTCTTTCTCATAGCAAAACAGAGTTAGATTTCACTCTATGAAGGTTGCTAAAGGCTTTAAATGTGAAAGAAGAGTATACATGTGTGCAGAAACATGACCAAAGTAATGCTTATGTTGCTCTGTGTCTTCTGGATGTGTAAATAAGCAACTGTGTGCTTTTATATTAGTAAGGTGACAATATGTCTTCAGCGTGATGCGCTGCCCTCACAGTAATCGCAAATTTGATTACTTTAAAGAAAAGTCTGGGGCGCAGTCCTTAGGATAGATGGCCTTGGGCCATTATTGGCTGGAATTGTATTGCAATTCATCTGTTAGATTTGGAATTATTTGAAACAAATATTGATAGCAGAACATTTTGACCTACTGGTCAAAAGTCAGAGGATAGCCAAGGTCAGTATTATCATTCTCTGGCCACCGTGAATGTCTGTACAAAATCGTATTGCAATCAATCCAATAGTTGTCACAGAAATTTCATTCTGGACCAAGGCGGTGGATGGACTAGCCAACTGACCTACAGCCACGCTGGCTAAAAACAAATATAGGCTGATGCATTGCCAGACTTTTAAAGTTGCAAATATGGCTATTGGTAATGGTCGAAAAAATGTCTTCCACCTTCATTTGCAAAAGACCCAATAAAGAACACAATGGGCGATGAACATCTGTTGAATGAGGCTGTGGGAAGTTAATATTCACCTGTAGCTTTCCTTCATGTTGTTGATTGCAGAAGGGTAGTTTTGAATGCTTTACGAAATCAATGGACGAGATTTCCATTGTGCTGTGAGCTTTTTGCAGCACGTTTTCTCTAATTTCTATTTTGAGGCTTTTTACTAAATGTTGCATGTGTTGTCAAATTGATGAAGATGTTGCTGATTCTTCATTTACTTACGCTGTGTCTACTTGTTTTCTTAATTCGCAGTGTGTTGAGCTTCCAGGGCCACCATATTTACATTCATTCAATCACATTCAGTAAAGGTTCATAACCTCTGTGCAGGTTGTAATATCTTTCCAAAACAATCCGTACACATCTGAACCTCTGCTTTAATTGTGTTAACAGACTTTTAGGTAAGGATCATCAAGCCTATGATTTTGCAGTGAAATGCTGGCTCTTTTGTAATGAATAATGTGTCACATCCCTATTTACTGCAGCTGGTCAGAACCCAGACACTAAGGGTCTTATGTCACAGGTCTACTTCATTTTCACACCCACCGAAAATTGTGGGTAATTTTCTCCCCTCTCTCTACTGCTGATGAGCAAAAGCATTAAGCTCCTGTCTTTGGAAATGAGGTTCCCAATCCAAAGGGCAGGCCCACCGCACTATAGAGCCGACAGTTCTTTAATAAGAAAATCTCCGCATGAACGCTCACGTACGTCCCAGCCTTTATATCCCAGCGTTATCATCATAGCTGGTCTGCATGAAAAGGAGGCTGGAGAAATTCAACTGAAACCACGTTCACAATTGCACTCCCACCTCTGTGCAATGTGCTTAAGTGATAACAATAAAAATCAGTGACGATGTTTGATTCTTCCTAAGTATACTTGCCCTGTGATTGCCTCTATGCACCTATGCCTTAACATGCAGCACTATAATGTAGATGTAAAGGAAGCAGAATGGCTTACGTACGTCCTCAATTGGGCTATTTTTCGTTTAAGATTAGTCCGTCTGCATCAGGAAAGCGTTAAACAATCCATCTGCTCCGCCTTCTACGACCAAGCTCTCCAGCTGAGAAAGAGACTGGCCGGCAGGATTTCGAGGTATCAGTCAAATGTGAAAGTCCTCTGTCAAACCTACAGTCTATGGTTAAACAACCACGAGTAGAGAGACTCACATTCATAACCTGCATTAGGATGACGGCTATTTTTCAGCTGGGCAGCATGAGACAAGCCCGGCTTCATATCCAAGCCCATCTTCCATTAGTGTCATCATCATTCCCTCCGATTACATCAAAGTATTGTCCTTTTACCTTGTTGAGGACTGTTCCTCTCCCACTGTCAGCAGGCCACCTTTCATTTCAATGGCTTTTTTAAAGGAGGGGGAGTAAGATGTACTGTGATGAGGGATATGAAATTGGCCACCTTTCAGTTTCTAAGAGGCAATTTTTAAGTGTTGATGACAAAATAAATGTATTGCTGCTGCTGGAAAAAACAACTTTGTGGAAAGTGGGGTTTGTGTGCCAAAGAAACCAAAAACATACAAAATAGCTAAATAGTACTGAGGGGGACTGAGGGATAACTGTGGGTTCGACAGTAACATGCAACACCTTTCATATTAGGCTTCAGAGACATTTGATTGATCGTTCATATGAAAAGCATTGATTAGTGCAGCTTTAAGCTAAACTAAAGCTGTTCATCAGTTACATCATCAGGTCGATGAGGTAGAGCAGTTAGCTCTGTTGTCGCTGTGACAGTATAGCAACATCATAACAAGACAGTATAGCAACATCATTTCAAGATGCTGAAATCTAAAATCTTTGTGATACTGTACAGAACCATCTGCCAGCTCCCAAAACGTGCTTTCAAGTAAATGTTTAATGTCACACACATGAATGTGTCACAGTTGCTGTCTGTCACCGCGCTGTGCCTTAGTCTCTCCCACGATTTGACTTCACAGTGAAAATATATAATTATCACAGCATCCACAGAGGCAAACACGCTTAGTGGAGCAGTGATGACGAAAACAAACACATGTTTTGATTCCTTTCAGATTGCACTGAAAGGGAGTCTGAAAAGGAAACAGTAGTGGCTGGTGTGTCACAGAGCAGCTTGTTTTGCAGGTGACGCTGATGAAAGTTGATAAGTAGCATCTTATTATACTGTATTTGCTATGATGTCTCTAGTTAACTACAGATTTAAGCAAAGTGCAGCTTTGATGGGCCATCTGTGCTGCTTCAAGTGGCAGTGGTTCAATGCCTGAAATCAAGAAGGACAATTTGAATAGTTTGATTGCTTAAACGAAAAGACTGCCAACAAAAATATCAAGCATGCATGCTGATCAGGAGATGAAGCAGAGAAAGGGCGTTCCAACCTAATAGGAGGAGGCGATGAGGTTCCGCAATGACCCTGTCGATACGTCGGGGGTTGGGGTGCATCAGACAGTATCACTCCTCGGAACATCCCAGAATCTTTAAGATGTTTAAAAATGGTTACAGAAGACTGATGCACAGTCACTCGCTCGGTTCCGATTATGTAATAGCAACCGGTGACTTTGTCCCATCTGGTGCCACACTGACTGTCCCGGGTCACGCTGCTCTTCATGTTAAACAGCCGAAGAGACCACAGAACAGAGAGAAGGACGGAGACGAGCAGGTGCACTCCTGATTTCATGGCTTATCTTAATTAGCTTTCACAAAAGTTAATTTACCATATCAGGGAATGGGGAAATGAGAATGTGGTTAGTCACAGTATTTTACATTTATTTGGTTAAATAGAGCGACTGTGGATGGCTGCAGAAGTTTGTTTGCTTGTGTGATTCGGGTGGACGTCTTGTGGTTTAGCAGTGTTTGCTCTGGATGCTCAAGGTTTTTCAACCGTAGGTTTCTTTGCTAAAGTGTGCAATTAATTCAGAGCTGAAGTATTGTTTCACTGACAAAGAGACCGTATGCATGTAACGGGTGGAAACTGACCACGGAAGTTTATTTTTGAAAAGACACTATGCATGTGATGAGTGGAAGTTCCTGAAACGTCCCAAAATTGATGCTAGAGGGGTACCTTTATAGTTTAAAGCGCACTGGTTCCTGCTGGTCACTGACCCCTAGCATCGGTATTTGACGAGTTGGGAGTGAGAATGTGTGTGTCAGACATGTATTTATTTATTCAAACGGGCGCTTTGGCAGCAAAAACAATTCACTTCAATGGAGTTGCGTGGAATGGCGAGATCAGCAGATACACTTGCAGGATTAAGGTAAATCTTTGTGAATGTTTTCGATTGGGTTCAACTTTGGTTAACTTTACAAACATTTTTACCATTGACCAATATCGAACCGTCCTGACAATACTGACCTTTTCAAAGATCAAAGAGCT